GATTTATTCGCAGGCAGGGTGCGTAAACAAATTCATGGGAACATCGGCCAGAGATTAAGTGTGCGGCCGGGGGAACCAGTTTGCCCTTAACCCGCTGGCGCTCCCTTTATCAACTGTCACCTCGGTTGGAGTGACGCACCCAGAACCGAGCACTACGTGACCAAGTGACAAATTGCAGGCGAACGGCGCCGAAGGACGGGCAACTTCAATTTCCCTGCCATGAACTTGAAAGAACGAATTTCTCCAGCTTTTTGAGTGGCTGCGGTGGGCCAAGGAGGATTTAACGGGACGACGAGGAAAGTGCAACGAACTGCCATCCAAATCATTAAACTGGGCGTGCCCTTCCCTCGCTGAAGAATCATAAATTGATATAAGTTATGCGAGGCGTTGAAGAAGTTTACGCAGGTCTGTTCTGATTGCAAAAAGGGAAAATTAACAGCAGCTCGACTTTATCCTGCGTCGACTTAAGGCTTATCGAAAGACCTTTTGTTTATGATCCTTTGTCTCCGATTTCAATTAACACCCACGCTTGGCTTTAAAAGATTGAGAAACAGAAATAATATCTGTGCCTTCGAAGGTTAAGTCGAGTTCTAAAATTACACTTGCATTTATTTATTTATATATTTACAACTTTCCGAGTTGCATGAAACTTGCATAACTTGGTGTTTTTACGAGCCAGATGGTGTTTTTGCGTTCAAACGTAATAATAATAAATATTTTACTATTAGCCTTTACGAGCACAGAACACTGACCCATAAAAATGAACGTTTTAGAACTAGTTACATAGAATTAGGGTGCAGTATAGATGCAATGCCAAATACAAGTTTCATCGTTCTAATTAAAAGTTCGAAGCTGTCCGATGGAGTGAAGCTAAAAGCTAATTGCCATGAAGCCAAGCTCATCGTGTGTTTGTTTTATTTCCCCGTTGCAGGCACCTCGAGGAATTGCTAGTCGGGTCCATTAGCAGTCAATCAGCCGAAGAGGCAGCAGAAGATACAGATACAGCCAGCGGAGCAGATACAGAATGCACGAGAGACAAGTGAAGAAGTGAGTCGCCACTTAGCGGCCAATCGGCGGTATAACATCTTCGATCCAATTACAGGTTGAAGGGCAGCCATTATGTTGCCACGCACGGTCGCCTCACTCCCGATCCGCCCTACGTGCACTCGAACCGGGGCTACTCCACGGACGGGGACGAGACCCACTCCCATCGGGCGCCCTCGGAGCGCACCTACTCGGAGTACACCCTGACCCACGAGCGCATCTCGCCGCAGTACAATCCGTCGCGCAAGAAGCGCTCCTCCTCGTCGAACGGCCACCACCAGCACCTCCAGAGCAGCTACAGCCACAGTCAGATGGGCCTCTCCAGTTCGCCGGACAACGGCGGACCCCGCTCTCTCAGCGGACCGCCGCCCACGCGCCAGCCGCCGCGTGCCCCGTCCGCCCTCAGCTACGACCAGGCCGGGGACGCCGGCAGCGACATCTATGTGACCAGTGCCGCCTACAAGGCGCCCTCCGAGATCAGGCAAGTTACTAGCAAGATAATTACATTACATTATCGGGGGTTTACCAAAAATCTCCTCCAACCTAATTCCAACCTAAATTCAAATCTCAGTGTCCTAGAAACCTCCTCAGTTTTGAGTAATAATCATAAAGTCAACAGAAATAAATGGTTAAAGATAGATTTTTTTAAATTCAGAGGAAAATATACTCCAAAACAAACCCAAAACTGTACAAATGCTGGGTTTTCAAAAAAATCCTTGAATAATTATTGCAATAGAGTTACAAAACTGGTGTTTTTGAAAATAGTGTTTTGAAGATGGATTTCCAATTTTGCAGGGAATGAAATATGTAAATTCAGAATTTAGTTAATATAGTAAAAGAACCATTTTATTTTTAAGACGATTTTAGATTGGTTTAATAGTTTCTATATTTGACAAGCTTCTTTTGTATACAGATAACTTGTCTTGAAACTACAAATTTGGTATTGAATATAAAGAATTTATTTTGTTTATGTATAATATTTATAGTTGATAAAATTTTTTGATTGAATATAAAGAAAGTATTTTGTTTATGTATAATATTTTTAGATAATAATTTATTATTTTAACTTGTTAAGGGATAGCTAGTATTGAGAGGTACCCAAGAACAAGTCAAATACTTACATTCCTCATTTCTATTATATTTCTAATTAATCTTTCTCCATTGCAGTCGCTACAGCCAGCGTCCAGTGTCCCGAGGAGCACCGCGGAGTGTCTACTCGGTGGCCAGCACGGCCAAGACGGGACGCAGTGCCCGTTCGACGACCAGGAGGGGTGCCAAGATCGAGACGATGTCCGCCCCGAACCCGTTCTGCCCCAATGTGAAGGGTGTCTGCTGCCTGATGCTGCTGCTGAATCTGGGCCTGATCCTGGTCACTTTGGGCTTCGTAATCGTGGTGCAGTTCTACGAGCCGCTCTACGTGTGGATCCTGGGAATCGTTTTCCTGATCTTCGGCTTCCTCACGCTAATCGGCTGCATGATCTACTGTGTGTATGTGTTCCGGGACGCCAAGACGCCGTCCCAGGTGCGAAACGAGGATCTCTACTGGACGCGCCACTGGCAGAAGAACATTGGATACACGCCGCAGGAGATCAACTACAAGGCGGACAAGTACGATGCCTACTCCGATCGCTATTCGGTCAGCAAGCTGAGTGGCAAATACTCGGATCGGGAGAGCCAGCGATATTGATTCTTTTTGTTATATACATAGACGGTTCGATTAGGGGGTCCTTCAGCCTGGGACAGCGAACAATATCCATAGAGACGTATAAACCACTTATATCTTAACTAATTGTAAGACTATCTACTAGTTCTAAACGGTTATTAACAAGGCCCCTCAACGTACCTGCTGCAAGTTGCTTGCTAGTTTGTATGTTTTAAGAGAGAAACTGGACGGAAACGAGAGGATACATGAGAGTATTGTAATCTGCCATATTTGAGAAGGTTTTACGTTCGTTCGGCTAAACAAAAAAGAGAGTTTTATGCTAAAATTGTAACTCCAATTGTAACACATGAGAAATAAACAAGCGAATAATACGTAATACGGACAAAAACCAATACTTCTTTAATTGATTTTTCAGTAGTCTTAGTGTTTACCTAGTAATGTCAGATTTTTGGACAGTGTAATATTTGAATGTGCCAGAGAAACTTCAAATTGTACCATCTCTAACAGGCAGTTAGGAAATTTATGTGGCAACGCCACATCGTCTGGCAACCTTAGCACTTGGTATTTTCTAAACTAGTCATAGTCAGTATGACCACATGTTAACTTTCAGTATTAATGGTATATTTCCGCTAGCCAAGAACGGCCACCTCGCGGTGTGGGAAATAAACAAATTGCAAATTGTTGGCTTACTAATTTGCCAATTGCCGTGATAATGTCGTTCCACCTGAGCACAAAGGAGCGCCTGCTGCTCCTGATCGACGACATCGAGATGATAGCCAAGGAGTTGATCGAGCAGGCGCATCAGAAGATCTCCAGCACGGAGCTGGTGGACTTGTTGGACTTACTGGTGGCCAAGGACGAAGAGTTCCGAAAAATGCTGGAACTGGCGGAGGAGCAGGCCAAAGTGGAGGAGGCAATGGACCTTTTGCGTGCCAAGGTCGAAGTCCATGTAAGTAACACCCTCCCAATGCCAAGCAACCATTTATTTAAAGGATTTTGCCTATCCAATTAGGACCGTGAGATCCAAAAGCTACAGAAGTCTCTGAAGGATGCCGAGCTCATCCTGTCTACGGCCATTTTCCAGGCCCGGCAAAAGCTGGCCAGCATCAATCAGGCCAACAAGCGACCGGTTTCCTCGGAGGAGCTTATCAAGTACGCTCATCGGATTAGCTCTGCCAATGCGGTCAGTGCTCCTTTGACTTGGTGCATTGGTGACTTGCGACGTCCCTATCCCACGGACATTGAGATGCGCAACGGGCTGTTGGGCAAATCCGAACAGAATATCAACGGCGGACCAGTGACCCACCAGAACAGTGGGATTCCATCGGAGCAGCAGAGATCGTTGTCCGGAAGCGGAGGAAGTGGGAGTGGCAGTGGCGCAGGCAGCGAAGTGCCTAATGCCTTCCAGAACCAATTCAACTGGAATCTGGGCGAGCTGCACATGACCATGGGTTCTTCGGGAAATACGGTGGCCCTGGAAACGCGCGCCCAGGACGACGTGGAGGTCATGTCCACCGACAGCTCGAGCTCCAGTTCCAGCGACTCACAGTAGGATCAGATATACTATAATTAAATCTCGTATAAGCTAGTGGTACTAGGTATTTAATAAAACAGCATTATAAGGAAAACAAGTTTTATTATAAATATTATTGTAAATGTGATTCGGTTGCAGGAGCTAATAGTGGGATTATATAAATATTTAATATGAATAATTTTTACGAAATAGCCCTAACTTAATTAATGTTTTTAAAGCGTATATCAGACTATTTTATTAATATACAATAGATTGGGTGGTTTTCTAAGTGAACGTCTAACCTTTAAAATTAACTTTTAATTTGTAAGATTATTGGTCAAACAAGTATTCTTAAGAGCTGAATAAAAAAATGAGTTAAAATATGAATTATTACGACATGTACATGTTTATTATGTTTATTAGTTTAGTAAAATATAAACATTTTACATTTAAAATGTGCTCGATTATTAAGCATCGATAACGAGTACTTGGCCATCTTTTGCTGTATTCAAAATATATAACATAACTATCGACGTCGGTTGTTGGCTAAGCTTTGATATCGATATATTGTTATTTGCATCTAAAATAAATGTTAAAAAGTTAATTTAAAGCCGATATCAAAGAAAATTTGAAATTTTAAATAAACCTATTTTTAAAACCATTAACATTAAATAATACAAATAAAATATTACCTATACTAGCACGATATCAATGGCCTTGACATTTTTGTGATACCAAGGTACGGTCCCACTAAACTAGACAAACACTCGATTGGCAGGGTCGCGTGCAATCGATACTTTGACAGCTCTTCTCTGAACATTCGTAATTTAGTTTTGCTTTTAAAATTTGGAATGCAACGCGAATGCAGCGTGTTTTAAGTAGCTAAAATGTGGCCAAGGTGTAGTCCAGTGTCGCCGCCAATATCAGATTTAAACCGTGTGCGTCTGTAACAAAAGCAAAGCCCCGAAAACTAAAGTAGAAAACCGAAAACCCCAGTCCGCAGTGTGTGTGTACAGAAGCGAAGGCTCGACTCAAACCAATTGCAATATTAAAAAGTGGAAGTGGAGTGGTCAGGGAGCGAGACACCGCCATCGCCACTTGGAGCACCCCGCATCTGCATTCGATTCGGGTTACATATATACACCTACACAGCACACAGCACACCACACTTTTACTTTTCCGTTGGAGAAAATTTGCCAAAAAAAAAAGCGTGTGGCGACATGATAATTTGTTTGATTTCTACACACTGCATGTTTGAATTATTGTAAAGCCAAGAATTATAGTCAAGCCATAAGACCCTTAAGCCTAGAGCCCCTAGAAAGTCAAACAGCAGTCATGATGATTCAAGAGCCCGTGCAGGTAAATCAATAGCTATTCGGTCCACCTGGCCTCTAAAAAACTCTCCCTTTTTTCAAAGGCCGCCATATGGCATTGCCTGAACTACTACGACTTCAAGGATGCTGTTTTCCTGGCGGAGCGCCTGTGCTCGGAAGGTAAGGTCAAGGTCTTTGCGGTTTCCATGTACATTGCTGATTTTCGCCCGTTTATTTTATTCCGTTCAGTTGAGAGCGACGAGACGATATTCCTGCTGGCCACCAGCTACTTTCGCTCCAATCAGGTGCACCAGGCCTACTGGCTGCTCAAGGAGAAGCCGCGCCGCTCGCCGCAGTGTCGATTCCTGCAGGCCAAGTGCGCCTACGAACTGAAGAAGTACGCCGAGGCGGAGAGCGCCCTGATCTCGACAGGATTCGCGGACGCCAAGAACTGCGATGAGCTGCAGCGGGACTTTGGAGATCTGGCCTGCTTCGCCTACCAACTGATGGCCCAGATCTGCGTGCGGACCGAGCGCAATAAGCTGGCCATTAGTGCTTTGAGACGGGCCCTCAAGCTGAACCCCTTCATGTGGCACGCCTTCTCGGATCTGTGCCTGCTGGGCCAGGACACAGATGCGGCGGCCATATTCCAGATCCACAGCACAGATGTGTTCAACACCTGCCAAGGCAGCAGCGCCAACGCCAATGCCATGGTGCTTTTCGGCGCCGAGCAGCAGAGCCAGCAGCAGCAGGAGCGCCAGTCTCTGATTACCAACCTAAGCAATATCTCCAACTATATACTAACCACCCCCGTGGATCAACAGCAACAGAACCAGCAGCAGGCGCAGCAGATCAACCAGAATCAGAACCACAACAGCAACAGCAACCTGGTGACGCCCATCAACAATAATAATATTAACAACAATCTCAACAGCTCGATCAGCATGCTCCGCGGCGGTCTGGTGCAGAACTCTAGCATGCTGGCGATGCTGGAGGACACCCCCATGGGCTATCCGCAGGACCCGGCCGGCCAGCAGCACCAGCAGCTGTACGACATGAGCAGCGGTACACCCTTCCGAAAGCAGTTCAAATACCTTTCGGCCATCTCACCGCCCACTCCGAGCTTCGGCATTATGCCACTGACTAGTCCCTGCACCGGAAACGATGGGTCCTTCATCGGCAACCATACGCCTGTCATGAACATAAGCTACTCGCCGATGCCACAGATGCTGGTCGAGGTTAACCAGGAGCCAAAGATGGTGGGCAAGAAGATGAAGACACATTTGGGCGGGCTCATCAATCGCAAGGAGGGCAGCCTCAATAAACCCGCCGTCTTTACCCAAGCTGGAAACATAACACCGCGCACTCCGAACAACAATAATGTGGGCAACAATGGTAACTTGAATGTTCCGCCCAATCCGAATGCTGCAGTGCGTCGCAGCTCGCGGCTATTTAGCAACTCGTATTCGGTGAAGGAGAACAATAAATCGCCCAACATAGCCAACAAGTTCGTGCAGCCACGCTCGCCGCCCCGTAAAACCAAGTCACGGATGACCAAGATTTGCCTGAATAACGAACTGATAGAGGAAAAGTCCCACCACCTGTCCGAGAAGCGCAAGGAAAAGGTGGAGACCATCACCTCCTCGGGAGCCAATAACAATAGCGGCGGACGCAGTGCCGCCGAGGAAGCCAAGGTCTTGTTGAACAACAGCCTAAACAATGCCCAAACAATGGCACACCAGCTGATGGGATTCAAGAAACAGTCCGCAGATGGACTGATGACACTGCTGCGGGATTTGGCTGAAGCCTACCAGCTGTTGTCCAACTTCCAGTGCAAGGCGGCTGTAAAGCAGCTGGAGACGACGATACCAAAGCACCAACTGAACTCTAGCTGGGTGCAGTCACTGATCGGACTGGCCAGGTACGAGATGCGGGACTATGAGGCGGCGGTGGGGATCTTCGAGAGCATCCACAAGGCGGAACCATGTCGCCTGGACTTCATGGAGATCTACTCCTCCTCCCTGTGGCACCTGCAACGCGAGGTGGAGCTGTCTGCTCTGGCCCAGGATCTGATTAGCCAGGACAAGACCAGTCCGGTGACCTGGTGTGTGTCCGGGAATTGCTTCTCCCTGCAAAAGGAGCACGAAACAGCCATCAAGTTCTTCAAGCGGGCAGTTCAGGTAGATCCAGACTTCGTCTACAGCTACACACTTCTGGGCCACGAACTCGTGCTTACCGAGGAGTTCGACAAGGCGATGGATTACTTCCGGGCCGCCGTGGTCAGAGATCCGCGGCACTATAACGCCTGGTTTGGCATCGGCACCATCTACTCCAAGCAGGAGAAGTACGAACTAGCCGAGATCCACTACGTGAAGGCACTGAAAATCAATCCGCAGAACTCAGTAATCCTGGTGCACATCGGTGCCATGCAGTTCTACATGAAGAAGAAGGATCTGTCGCTGCAGACACTGAATACGGCCGCCACGCTAGATCCGAAGAATCCACTGACCCGCTTCCATCGCGGCTCGATCTACTTCTCGCTGGGCAAGTACCAGGAGGCGCTGCGCGAGCTGGAAGAGCTTAAGGAGATTGTGCCCAAGGAGTCTGTGGTGTTTTATCTGATCGGCAAAATCCACAAGACGCTCGGCAACATGGATCTGGCCCTAATGCACTTCAGCTGGGCCACCGACCTAGATCCAAAGGGTGCGAACAATCAAATCAAAGATGCCTTCGACTCAATGGCCCATCCCAGCTGCTGTCCGGCCAACAATACTGCCCTGGACGTTGATCTGGAGCCCACCTCGGAGCGTTCCGATGACTCTACGCAGGCGCAGCAGGATGGCAGCTACGACAGCGACTACTAGGGAGCTGCGACTCCAAATCCACGCGGTTGTATATACGTTAAACAGAAACACAGTAAACAAAGGAAAACTTAGAAACAGATACAAAAACCAGATCGATTGCTGCTGTATTGTCGTAGCGGAAAGCAAACCAATTATGAAGTATAATAAAGTCTAGATAACGTTTAGCATTAGTAATTTAAAATATACAACAAAGTAAATGGTTTAAACAAAATTGTGCACTCTGAAAGTCTAAGGCAAAATAACAAAACAAAACAAAAAAAAAAAAACAACAAATTAAATACCACTTAAATATACAAGAAAAGGATACATTTTAAATGTTAAGTTATAAGAACATGGATCTTATGGGATTAGCCACTCAATTATACATGTTGGACTTGGTCAATTGGAATTATCCTATTAAAACAATACAAAGCGGATACATTTTAAATGTTAAGTTATACGGAACTTATCTACATGTGAACACGATTAGTTTGTCTGATCCTCTGTCTCCTCCCTTTCTTGTTTAATTGAAAAATTCAGGATCTGCTCGTGGCTTAGGCCCTGAGTTATATCCAGGACATTTTGGAGTCGCTCCAAATCCACATTCAACATGATTGCCATGGCGGGCAAGTGCTCCTCAATCAAAATATATTGACGCGGCTGTCGTATCGCTAGTATGCGACTTATGTCCTTGGTGCCGAAGATTTCGGCAATGGAATCGCTCAGCGAAAGGTTCATGGAGCTCTCGGAACCGAATACCAATGGCGATAGGAGCAAATCTCTTTCCTCGGGTGAGGAGCGCAATTCACAAAGCTGTTCGGCAGGAGCCGAAAAAGGACGAAGGGGAACCACATTGGTGTCGTTTACAGGCGGCAGTTGATGAACAAAATGTGCCGGATATTGAGGAGGCAGCTTCGATGGAGAGGGCGTGGTCCCTAGATGATCATCGGAAAAGGTGGATTGGAGTTTGGTACGCTTTTCTTTAGCCGGTTGTTTTGGTTTTGGCCCAGGTTTGGCTTTGGTCTGAAGAGTCCTCTTCCTTTGTGTATTCTTTGGAGAAACTAGCTTTCGAGCCTTAAGCTTTTTGGTCGCTGGTTTCTTGCCTTCATCCTGGGTCTTTAGGTGGGTAATCTTTTTTGAAGGCTTCAAATGGGCCACTTTATTTGCTGGCTTTATGGGCTCGACTTTATCTGAAGTTTTCAGATGGACAACTTTCTCTAAGGTCTTCAGATGCACAACTTTATCCGCAGGCTTTAAGTGCTGAGTTTTTGACAGAGGCTTTTCCTGCTGGCAAATTAGCTGACTGCATTCATCTTGCGTTTCTCCAAACAATTGGGGAGAACGGCTTTTAGGTGGAATCTTCAGCAAATCCCGGTTTTCCTTGTCAATAAGTCGCTGTGATCTCCTAATTGGCGAAAACTGGGAACAGTATGTCGAGGCGGGACTTGAAGTCCTATCCATATTGAAAAATCTTACAGAAACAGCGCGTAATACTTTAAAATACGTTTGAAAAACTCCATTGAAGGCAATTTAGTCAAAGGACTTCGTCCGTAACAGGTTTTTTGATATCAAAGGAGCAAAATGTGGTCAGAGCTGCCACGTTTTGTAATTGTTGAAAAATGCCTAACGGTAAACTAATGTTTTAACCATATTTTCTTATAACTGCAATCTTTAATCGAAATCTTTTAACAGATACTCAAAAGCTCTTTTAATTAATAAAGATATTTTCAAATTTATGTAAATAAAATTGTACTTTGTTAAAAACAGCATTGTAAAAAAAAAAATATCAACCCACGTTGATTTATCTTCATGTCAAAGTTAATTAAGTTTAAAACTGAGAAGTCTTTTGAAATTGTTCAGTAAAAACTTTGTTATTGCTTACTAAAAGTTAATTTTTTAATTAAATAATTTAACAATCAGTTCATTTATTATTGTGTGGTAATTTTAGTATGGCCTGTACTTGTACAGTTTTAGTATTATCTCCCATGCACTGACGAATATTTGTGTTGGTCACACCGGTAATAGCAATGGCAGCGACTACTTTACGTAAAACCCCAGGGGTAAATAAAAATATAGATTATTTCAATTAAAATAAAATGACTCTGAGTTTTTAGCTTGTGGGAAGTCTGCAGAGATGTTTTGCCTCCGTTCCAAAGGCGAAGCCAACAAAGAACAAATCTTTATCAGCTGTCGGCGAGTCGATTGCCGCCAAGGGGTTAGTATTTTGTACTTATTCATCCAAAAAGTAAATATATATATTAACCCCATGTTTTTAGTTTCCTGCGACCTCATAAGCCGTACTCCCCACCTGCAAATGCAGCAGAACGTGTACGCTCGGTGGCCGCAGCACTTCAGTTAAAATCCGATCAGTTGGGGAATCTTTCCGAGAAATTCGAATTCCTGGCCGCCTGTTTCCAGGAGCTGCAGCACGGAGTACCCAACTCCCAGGTTCATGAACTGCGCACCATTGGCGATGTCATCTCCTTTTATGAGACATCCGTGGACACAACCGTCCCACTAGACGCACTGAAGCGCATTGAGCTGCCGGAGAATCTGCACATCCAATACGAGTATGTGCGCTTCAATCCCGAGACAGACACTAAATTCGATGGCAAGACGGCCTTCCCCAAGAGCTCCACGCTGGTCACGGGTCTTAAGTACCGCTCCAAGTATGAGGGACACGAAGCCAAACGATCCTGGCCTTAGAAACACAAGTCTGTTAGTTGTTAACTCCTACACTTATAAAATGAACTCAGTCTGGCCAAGAATTGAGTTAAAAATACAATTTTTTCATTTGAAAATTGTGTCGTTTTTGAGTAACTTAAAATAAAAGAAGTTTTTAATACTTTTTGCGTCAAGTGCAAAGCACAAGGAGCATTGCAATCTTGGCCGGCTGTCACTTGACGCTTTACTTTCATTTAATGCCAAGTATCTTTAAGAATTTTGGTTATCCTGATCCTGGCCTTGCACGATCTTACATTATTAAGATCCTGTTGTCTATTAAGACTGGGCTACAGTACTCTAAAATTGACTTAGAAATACACTTCGTTCATATTGAAGGGATACGAATATTTTAGTGGTTAAAAACTAAGATTTAGGAAACCCAGATAATCTATAGGAACTCTGCTATAGTCTGCTTGAGATCCGAGTTGTAAACACTTTCCAAAGCCGCCAAAACACGTTCGTCGCCTAGCAACTCCATCAGCCTCTTGTCCTCAGTGACGGCTTCGAAAGTGGGATACATGAGCTCACAGTTTATATCGGTAACCGCCGGTTTGTTCATGATGCTAAGGATCTTCTTCTGCAGCTCGATCTCTGGATCAGGGGCCTTCAATTTGGCCAGGGCATTGGCCTCGCCCACCTCACGCTTCAGTTGCTCCTCGCGTTCGCCCTCCAAATACTTCAGGATTACCTCGTACTGTGAGGCAGTCAAAGGATGATTGTCAGCCAGCCTCTCCAGGAGTTCCTGCATTTGATCGGGATGTCGTCGCTGTCCCTTGTGAATTGCGCTTACTGGCGGTGGGGCGACAGAATCGCGCTGCCTCTTCAGTCTAAAGTCGGTGGCCACCAGGGTGATGGCGTCCTCCAGTGGCATGTTGCGATGCTCGGCGGGCACGCCGTACAGAATGTTCACTGTGATGCTGTTGTGCTCCTCGTGCTGGGGCGTTACCAAAATCGCATACAGGCAGCCGCGCGATGAGATGTTGGCCAGGACCTTGCCCAGCATGACGTCCTCGTTCGGGAACAGGACATCGACCCGCATATTGCCATTTCTTAGCCGCTCCTCAATGTACTCGGCGTATTTGCTGTTGGCGAAAAGAGTGAATGATAATCCGATTTAGGATTTGGGCTATTATTACTCACGTATTCTCCCGATTCACAACTATAATCTCGCAATCGTTAATAAGCGGCTGGCCAGCAGCCGCCGCCGCCGCGGACATTACAATCCCACCTTGAACTGTGACTTGAGCTCCCTGCATCGGATTCCTTTTGGCATTTGCGTTTGCGGCCTTTGATTTTATGCTGGCGTTGCGTACGGTAAGCATGTTTTGCTTAAAAGTCGACTTGTGCAAGGCGGAGGCTGCCTTATTGGCCAGCTCCTCCGATTCGAACTGCACGAATCCGTAGTTTTTCTGGACCATTGAGCCGAGGACTTGGCCGTACGGTCGACAAATGCTCACCAGCTCCTCGCGCGTGCATACTGGCAGGTTGCCCACGAAGATGCGACTCTTGGCCAGGGCAGGATCCTTCGTTATATTGTAGCCAGCGTTACTGGGATCGGTCATATTTAAATGCTCTTCAGAACCCACGGAGATAAAATTGGAGTTTACTTAAAAATTCCAGTGTGACCAGGGATATTTGGCCATATAGGGCATTCTTTTATTATGTTCAATAGCTTCAAGCCAGAGTTGTCGACGTTGGTTTATTAGAAGTTGTTAGAAGCGGAGGTATTTCCCCTTGTTATATATATTTGCTTGGTTATTTGCTCATTTGAAAGAATTTTTTTGTTGAACATTCAAGAATTCCGCAATTCAAAATAAATATAAAATTCTTTAAATTAATTACTTCCATTCTAAACTTATAAAATATTTGTTTATTTAAATTTTAATTTAATGCAATGGGACTAAGATTGAGTAGGTATCAAGGCTGCTAACCAAAAAGTGTATAAGATATAATCATCAATTCGATATCTCATTTTCCACAGCTTTTCAATTTGGCTCAAAAAATGTTCAGCGAAAATGTCACCAAATCTTATTTACATACTTATTTTCATTTATAAAATGTTAAGTTGTTTCAATATGCATTGGGTGTTGATAAGCAGGTTCCTATTTTCGTATTTCCGTATTTTTTTGTATTCCAAAACTGATTGTTTTCTCTGCATTGCGATAAGTGCTAATTATTATTATGTTTCCTATTTGGGACAAGAAGGTTAAAAAATTATTTTTGACCTTCCTTCCTCCTATATAATACAAAATAAATAAGAATATCAGAAAATGACGTAGTTTTATGCAAAGCCAAAAAAATCTACATTTAAATTACTCAAAAAATTAAATATTAAATCATTTTCAGAATCTCCCCAATAATACCATAACACAAATAATGTTAAATAGATATAAGCGTAGCCAGACAGCCGCACAAAGCAAAAATTGTTCAAACATTTTATTTGAAAGGATTAAAAAAGATATGTAAAAAAAGGAAAGTAGAAGCATACAAAGTGTTTGTTCTAAGCAATATTCTTAAAATAACTAGGTTTACCTCATGAAAAGTTCTTAACAATTGCGCCTTAACAGAACGCTGTTAAAATAACAGCACCCGCGGATATTTTAGCGTCTTGTTTGTGTTTGGCGCAGCCACACTATTTTCTTTCTTTTGGCTTTCGTTTCCGGCGAGGTACGTGCAAGAAATTTCTGCTCCACGTTTTTGGCTGAAAATAATGTTTAATTCTCAATTTTAGCGTTGATTAATACATTCAACAAAAGAAATGGTGGGTTCCCGACAAAAACTTCCAGCCATCCTTACAGCAAATTGGCAAATAACCTGCAAACGCCATCGGAGCCCTAGCCCACGTGCACTATGAAGCCTTCTGGCGATAAAATGCCGAAAAAGAAAGTTTATTTATGTGCGCCATAAAGTTTGTGGTCTTAAAATATCATAAAACCCGGCAGCAAAACCAAAAAATGAAAAGAAAGAATTGTAAACATTCCACGAATGCTGGCAAATTAATTTCCGGTCGCAAACACCAATGCTAATACATCTATTTTTGATTGCAGGGTATTGATATCAACCACAAGTACGATCGCAAGGTTCGCAGAACCGAGCCCAAATCCCAGGATGTGTACCTGCGCCTGCTGGTCAAGGTAGGTCTAGGATTTCGAGGATTCTCCAGTGAATTAATGAATGTTTTTTCCATTTACCCCTGCAGCTGTACCGCTTCCTGCAGCGTCGCACCAACAAGAAGTTCAACCGCATCGTTCTGAAGCGTTTGTTCATGAGCAAGATCAACCGCCCGCCGCTATCGCTGCAGCGCATCGCTCGCTTCGCCAAGGCTGCCAACCAGCCGGAGTCGACTATTGTGGTCGTCGGTACCGTCACCGATGATGCCCGCCTTCTGGTGGTCCCCAAGCTGGCCGTCTGCGCCCTGCACGTCACCCAGACCGCTAGGGAGCGCATCCTGAAGGCTGGCGGCGAAGTGCTGACCTTCGACCAACTGGCCCTGCGCTCGCCCACCGGCAAGAACACCCTGTTGCTGCAGGGCAGGCGTACCGCCCGCACTGCTTGCAAGCACTTCGGCAAGGCTCCCGGTGTGCCCCACTCGCACACCCGCCCCTATGTCCGCTCCAAGGGACGCAAGTTCGAGCGCGCCCGTGGTCGCCGTTCCAGCTGTGGCTACAAGAAGTAAACGCCTGGCTGACTGGACTGGATTTGGAATCCTTTTGGTTAAGATATTGATTTTTCTCGCCGTCGCTTAGGCAGCACACGGCAATAAAGAAGTTTTTATTCCAAAAGGTGAAAACGAGTGGTCCTAAATCTATATATAATCTATTCTAGTGGAGGTGCGTGCTCCAGTAGTTGATCAGCGGCTGATCCTGCGGTTGTACGCCCAGCACCTTCTTCAGCTTTCCCTGAACGCTGGTGGATTTGGCATGGTTAAGGCAGGTCACTTTGCTGTTCGAGGGAAAACGAATGACTTGTGGAACTTTGGAATATTTGCAAGACTTACTTTTTCCACTCTTCAATGAGCACTTTGGTCTGCTTGTTCAGCACCAGTTCTGTGAAGTTCTTCTCCTCCACCGCCTTCAAAAGTTTTACCATGAGGTCCGGCACTAAAACATATTGATATATATATAATCGGTTTAAGGAATTCAAAAAACACCCCCTATAGCAATGCTTACATTTTCTGGGCAATTCTCCAGGCCATTTCACCGACACCTCGTGTCCATTGACGTGCTTGTCCAGGAAGTCAATTCGAAAAACAGAGCCACTGGCCATGGGCACCGCTATATCATTGGACACGGATATGATCTTATATTCGGAGCTAATGGAGTGCTGATGCTGAGCATCAATTCTCATCAGATTGTGCATGGGCTCTGGTAGCAGTTTCTTTAAGCAGACCATGAACCGGAAGGTCTTCCTCGGATCCCCTCGGACTACGATCTTGACCCCAGTTAAAGCGCAATAGCACACGGTTGCAAACTCATCCTTGCGCACGACACTTTTTAGATGGCGCAGCGAGAAGAACTCCTCCAGATCGGGGTCATCGATGCTCTCGATCATTGGCAGGGTGGAGCTGTTGTAGGTGAGTCGCTGGGCGGGAGGACGGCCACTACTTTGTGGCGGCAGCCAGGGCAGGTTGCCAAAGGTCACGTGTTCGGTGAGGAAGCGGGATCCGGCTAGCAGAAGCCACGAGAAGTGTGAGTGCAGCTGGGCGAAGATGTGCTCCTCGCCTGTGAGTTCCAGCAAAGAGCGGGAGGTGTGCATCAGGAACTGGGCGCCGGATAGACGCCTCTGCCTTTCGGAGTATGTTAACTCCTCCGTCTCCTTGGTCTTTTTAGCAGCCGCTTGCAGCTCCGACGAAACCTTCTTTAGGTGCTCGGCCAGAAAGGGCTTAATGTTCAGCAGGAAGTACTTGTCCTTCATCAAGACTATAATGGAGAAGAGCTGGGAGTAGCCGCGGGCCTGAAGGTCGCTCACCCGAAAGGTGTGACTCAGGATGTGGCCCCTAGACGAATCCCCGAAGAACACAAACTCGCCATCCTTGCTGGGATCCGTGCCATTGCTTAAACTCAGGACCGCCGCCTGCTTGACCAGATTAGCCACTTCCGGCAGCACAGCCACCTTGGTGCTCACAAATGTCGCCCCGCTCTCCGTGTCCCTGCTGTAAATGGCGTTGTTGTTCTTGCCCATCGAGTAGTTGCAGGCGGAGCAGGACTTTTGGGTCTGCTGCTGCTCAAGGGGCAGATCCTCCAGCTTGGTGTCCCTCAGCGTCTGGGTGCAGAAGATGGCGCATGGACCGTGCGCCTCGCAAAAGTGACACAGCGCTATTACGGCGTTCATTTCAGTGAACTGGTTTCTAAGGTTTTCTGTATAATTATTCGCCTGTTTATTTATTGTTTACCAAGTCATAAGATCTTCAGTGTGGCCAGCCACACGAAAGCGTCTAAGGCCTAATAATGGCCAGCTTAGGTAGCTCTTGTAAATTTGGCGGTATAATCAAAATATTGAATTATTTTATTTTGTTTAATTTCAAAAATCAACGGAATACGGATTGTATACAACATATTTTAACCACATAATACCTTACACATATTGCTCAACCGTTTATTAATTACAACATAAATTCAACAAATGGGGAAAATTCTTGTAGAAAACAAAAACGTGTTATTCAAAATGAATATTTTTCATTTAGCAAAGAAAAATAACAAAATTACGGAGAATATTTTTTTAAGTGGAACTAAATATGTAAAAGTATATTCCGATCGCGGGAAGATGGCCTGTATTTACATACAAAATTATTTATGCAGAACGAAGAGAGTTGAATCAGGCACATGTTCTGGAAGTCTTTATAACCTAATTTGTTCAGGATGCTAAGTGGCTGGGTCAATATTTGTTTAAATCACAACGCAGCGCTGATCGGAACCGACTTAAGTGATCTTTATTCTTGAAAAGGGTAGTGCCACTGTCAGACGCTTTTACAATGCACTTGGTGGCTTGGATATATTTATTAGGTGGCTTTTTACCTTGGGTTAAAAGTGCATACGATGTGTTGGACTCTTCAGTTGGTCAGAATATTACGGAATATCTGCACGCGCGACAGAAAAGACATCAACTGATCTACAGGAATGGAGGAACTATCCGTTTGGTAGTCGGTCCCGTAATGGCCACCCAACTTGAGGATCCTGTGGTCTGGCGCAGCATGGTTTACTATTATGTCCTTCATTTCGGAGCATTTACGCTACCATCAGCTCCACTTTATCCATGGGACAAATGGGAGACGATCTTCACTCGATCGCTGCAGGAGAAGATCAGGAGCTTGGATGAATCTCACGAGGACGACACTCGGGTATTTGTTTATGCTACTTTGGAGAATTATATGGACCAAGTCAGTGGATTAATGGGTCGGGGTCGGCAGTGTTTGTTGCGAGGGATCTGCGAAAATGCACAGGTCCATCATCATGTGGGAATCATGGCGGAGCTACTAAACGTTCTACTCACGTAAGTTTTAATTTTTGAATTTTTTGTTTAACTATTAACCATTTCTTTTTAGACCTGGTAAAACGCGTTTGGATTTGGCCTATACGGAAGCCTTATCAGCTGGAAAAGCTGGGACCGATTGTTTATCTCGCTTTTCGGATTGTCCGAAAGGTGAAAGTATCTTTGATGCCTATTCTGTAGATGTGGATTATTAAAGTAACAACGGCTTTGCGGGCAAGGCTTAATCAATTTTATAAAAAATGCAAAGGAGTCGTATAAAAAAAATATAAAATTAATAAAATATTTTTATAATGACAAAAAATCCTATAATGTAATGTGCTATTTAACGTAAAGACCCAGAAGAATTTGAAATAAATCCTGTTAATTTATAGATTACCGCTGATAGCACTATTCATTTAGCTCAACAGCAATCACTCGTCAACCTTACAGTAATCACTACCCATCTGAACCATCTTGGTGCACCGATGAATTTTTAACACTAATTGCAAGTGATTTGCGCCCTTGTCACAGCCACGCCCTCCCAAACTCCTCCAACCTGGGGCTTTCTCCTCTGGTAAACCAGAAACATGAGTGCATCCCAGAATCCCCCAGTTTCGCGGGGAAAAATCCGTTAACATTAATGGCTTGTGGCTGGTGAAACTTGGGCTTGGAAAGCGGTGCAGCGAAAGCCAACACACGACCGCCATTTTGTCAACAATGGCGTCAATTAAATGGAAAATGCAGCACCACCAACAACCGTCAGGCTGCAAGCTTCAAGAACACCAGCAGCAACAACGAAAGACAATAAATGCGTCTTAAGTGGCACATTAGGCTTGCAGACGCTGACGGGCAGAGAAGAGGGTGGGGTTTTGTACAGGGTGCAGCAGGTGCCATGTTTCCACAAAAATTTTTTTAATTTAGTTTAATTTTTAATTTAAAATTATCAATCGTAGATAAATCGGAATAAATGATTATGACACCGATGAAAAACCCTTTTCCAACAGAAGAAAACAAATTATAATATACTTTTTTCCAACTTAACAAATTCATCTTAAAAAAAATTTATAATGCATTGAAAAAATCATTATTTTTGACTATTCTAAATTGGATTTTAAACTTGATTTGAAAACCTTCGTGAGTTTAGGACATGTTGAAATTCGGTTGGAATAAACTTAAATGATATTGATAAATCGAGCATTTATGGCACCCTGTTTAGAATCTCTCGTTCTTGGCTCAGCTGCGCCCTGTGTGCACAGCTAATTCAAATGCGATTATGACAACGCGAACAAGGAAGGGGCTAAGCGGCGGAAAAGACAAGGAGGGGGTGAAAGTGGGGCGAAGGAACCATGCAAAGTGGTGAGAAAGGGGGCGGGTTGGGGGAGGCCTGCACAACTTTGCGGTGTTTGAACTTGTGATGGTGCAGAGCAATAGGTAACTAATGTCTGCGGCTGCCATGTTCATGCGGCATCATTATCGTGATGACAGCAATACAAAATGGGTAGAACTAAGTTTTGGGAGATTACATAATGATTATAAACAAATCGTCCCAAAAATCAGAGCCAAAAAAAATTCAATTCTATTTCCCCAGCTTACGGGGCGTATGATTAATGTTTCATGTTTGCTCTTTGGATTTTAACTTATGCATAAATTTAATTGCTAATGCGGATTCTGTCTTAAATATATTTCAACAATAAGGTGAAAACTAAATTTTTTTATGCTTACTTTCAATTCTAGCAACTTACCAGCATAAACTGTCATGCATCTGGTGCGCCTGCATCGGTGTGCACACATGCTCATCCTCGAGCCGAGTCAACACAGTTTCCTGCCCCTCAGACATGCTTCCGTGCATTTCCGCCCCAAATTATGCAGCAAGAACAAGCGAAATCCGACATCAGGACAAGACCCATTAGACATGCACTTTGATTTGGCTGAAAACTTTATTGCGGATAGCTATTCTCTTCCGTACACCACAGAAATCCGTTGCGGCTGCAGTAGAAGTAAATCAATCATCTTCCACAATCAAAAGCCCATCTAGAAAGTTAAGACCCCGAGGACAAGACTTGTACAGGCCCAGGCAATTGGCTCCAGCCCTTCCGGCAGCAAAGGCCTCATGATAGGAACTATCCAAATCCGCTTTTCCGGGACTAAAATGATAGAATTATACAGGATTAAAATGTTGAAAATTTGCCAAGGTTTTCTTATATAAAAGCCCGAACAGCTTAAGCTTTTTTTTATTATTTAGCAATTTAATTTTAAAGATATTTTTAATTAGAGGGTTTCTGTCAAAAGTGTACATCATTATATAACAGCTATTGGTATTATTATTGTAATAAAATTTTATATTTAGCTAGCAGTATTTAAAAGTTATTAAAGGGATAAACATTTCGCTCACCTGAGTACAATATCCATAATTTCCGAGAACACCCCGATGTGGTGATGTATCTGGGCATTTTCGCAGATGGACCTCAAAAGGCATTGTCTGCCCATGGAAGGGTTGTTGTTCCTTCTGCCAATGTACTCCTCCAGAGCAGTGTAAACCAGGAGTCTGGCATCGTCTGCATATCGCACTTCTCCATTGGCCGTATGCCGCTCGATATTCCTTCTCATTTGCATCAAGGATCGGGCGAATGTGCCCTCCCACTTATCCCACGGCCATATGGGTGAAGTGGGCAGGGAATAGGACCCACCTTGGAGCGTAAAGGAGAGCACACAGGATCGAAAGGACACCTTATCCTCCAGCGGTATCGGGGTCGAAGGACCAATGCTAAACTTGAGGGACCCACTATTCTGGTAGATCAGATATCGCTTCTGCCGATGTCCCATGAACTCGGTGAGATTCCGGGAGGTGAGTCCGGGGGATGGCAGGGTGAGAAGACCCACCGCCAAGAGCAGACCCGTTGTCCACTTCATACTTCCAACGACTAACTGCAGGTGTAGGCGTCACAGCCTTAACTCGTTTTCAAATCTCCCGTGAACTAAGTGAGCCATCAACTCTGGATGACAAGTGGAAATTTCGGAGGCACAAACATTTGGTCAGGCAATTAGCATTATGAATGTGACAAGAATTGGATTACACTGATACAAAAATTTGGAGAAATACTATACACATCTAAATAAATAAACTGATATATTTCGTAAGTTTAATTTTCAAAACCTCTTTATTAACATTAATGTATATCATTTATTTAAGTCAAAAGTGAAAGTTGCCTATTCTTATTTGATAAAAAAGGTTGACAATTGCATATAGGAATATAATTCTATCTAGCACAAGTTAAATTTATTGTTATTATTAAACTCTTTTTTTTCCATGTGTGCCCAGTTGCTTTTGGTTTTCTATTTGCACACGTGAGTGATAAAACTGAGTGGACAACAGCAACCTATTTGGGTCCGGTCCAAATGAAGTGACCCAAACAGCCCAGATCAAGATGAAAGGTCACAAAAATATGAAGCAAAAAGACCCACTTAGAAGACCATTTAAAGGCTGGGAATCTTCGCACACAATCAGCTTGCAGAGCGATGAAACGAAAAATGTTTTGCAAATTATTTAGACAAATAGGGGAAGTGGCACCAACCACTGCCCCACCGCTCGAGGCGGAGATAATATCCTTTTTTGGTTTGTTTTGTGATTTGTCGACGTGGCCGGAAATGAAAAGCAAATAGCTGTAGCAACAGCAGCAAGCAAATAAATTTGCTTAAATAACAGCAGTGGCAGTAGCAATAGCAGCAACCATCGGAAAACAGCAAACAAAGCTGCAAACCGCAAAAGATGAAGGAATGGGGAAAATGGATTCAGAACCGCAGTGGCACACACAAATGGTACACGATACAGAAAACTCATGTGGGTGACAAGTCTGACAAAATTACAATGCCGCGCAACTTTTCCAGCTCCCATCTCCCATCTCCATCCATTTCCCACCTATTCACCTGTCCCCCGGACATTTCCGTTTTGTGCGGACAACTGGCAACTCGCACAAGAAATAAATTCATGTTGACAATTTGAATGGCTTATAGAAAATGCGTGCAGACGAAATTTTCACATCTCTCAAAAAGCTAAGAAAAAAACACAACCCAGACTTGTGCGTAGGCGTAAATAAAAAGATCAACAAGACCCACCAATTTGGAGCAATAAAGCTCTGAACTAAACACGTTTTTAGCTATTTATATGAATGACAGACTTCTTGAAATTTGCCAGTCATTGTTGATATTTTGGTGTAGAAAGTGGCTGTGTCACATATTCTAAGCATTTGTTAAAAATAGATAGCTTTAATTGCTCTTTTTAAATGAAAAGTAATTGTTTAAACTATATAATTGGGAGTAGTTTACATTGTAGGTTTCTTTTAAAAAACTAGTTTTCTAACCAAAAGTATACCAAAACTAATATAGAGTTTAGATCATAACCCTTTTGCTTCGATTCCAAAGGCCCCAGAATGCAAAATTTTTAAGTCCCTTTGTTCATCTGCATTACTTAAAAGTAGTCCTGATTTATTATTGCATATGTGCTTCTGTTTGCAATATTTTTGCCAAAAGCTTGTTACATTGCAACATCGCCGTATCTCAAGCACTGTCATATGACATTGCACATGTTTTTCCCAGCTGCCTTTCCATATTTTTAGTTGGCCTGTTCGCATGCTCCTTTTGCCCAATTTGGCACAGCCAGAAACTTTATTTTCCTTGGCCGCAATTAGGCAGCGGGGTGAAGGAGGGAAAAGGAGCTGGAAAAACAATATCTGAAGAGTGGTGGCGACTCCACCCCCAAGAACATTTCTCCAACTGTCACAGGCAGCCTGAAAAAAGGACGAAGGATAAAGGGAAGTGACTGTGACACCCAATGGACTTGTAGCTACCTCATTCGACCTTCCTTCCCCAAAAAAAAAACGACTCCCCAGAGCGAAGTTCTTCTTCTTCAATTTCTCACACAAACTGTATATAATATTTATTATGTTGGCATAATAAATTGCAACATGAGGCAGATTCATTTTCGCACTTGCGGACATTTTTCATTTTGTTGCCCGCCGGGCAGCAGCTGCTTGGACTTTGGCGGTGCGACCGGAAAGGTGGCGGTGGGTGGGTGGGTGGGTGGTTGGGTGGTTCGGTTTTTTGTGAGTTCGTGGGCGGTGCTTTTGGGCGGTGGCTGAGTGCGAAAGAAGCCTTGGCGCCACATCCATGTCGCCACTGCTGTCCTCGTTGCGGTGTTGCAACTGATGAGCAAAAAGTACTTGTTGCCATCTTCTAGTTCGGTTCAGCGGCTCTGGAAGTTCAAGTGTCCCTTGAATAGAAATGAATATTGAAGATAAATGTTATTTTTATTCATTTATTTATTCATAAATAATGTTCCTAAATCGACCAACAATTCAATGAATTTGTTTAAATATAAAGGTGATAGTAACAACGCACTAATAAAGCTTCTAAGAGTTTTTCTACGATGAGAACTCTAAATAATTATTTGCCTTATTAAATTTTATATTTACCAATATTTTGATAACAAGAAATGCTAAAGACTTTTTTATCGTTATAAGGTATATTTTCTATCTAAAAAATATTCTGAAAACATTCATATTTTGGTTCGAAAAAATAATTAAAAAACCTCAAGTGTTATTGAAATGTTAAAAAATTTAGTGTAATGACATAAAATATTTTTAAATTGTAAAACCTAAAGGTGATATAACCAAACTGGTTCCCTTCTTGGCTGCACTGTTTCACCTGTGTTCTTCCTTCGCCTGCTGCCTTGGCATGTGCACATTTTAAAAGGGAAATTTAATAAACCTTGTCCTATTTCATGCTCATTAGTGTCATGATAAATTGTAGAGCCACGTAACCGGAGCGAAGAGGAGACCCCGATCCGTGGCCATTTCTCAGGTGAGAACGCTGAATGGAATGGAATCGCGGAGTCCATGTAAATGTGGTATGGGGCAGAGGAGCTTAAAGGCCAGCGGTGCTTAACTGTTGCACAATGCACACCCCGCACAAATGGCCATAAATTAGAAAAGTTCTCCTCTGATGCGGACAAGTTGCCTTTGATTTGCCAGTTTTGTTTGCCGTTTTATAGCCGTTTAATGTGCTGACATGTCGGCAATTACAAGAGAAAGATTGTCTGCGATTGGAGGGCGGGAAATGTAAATGGGTCTGGATGGGTAAGCGAGTTCATAGAGCTCACATAAATTCAAGCAATAATCTCATTGTTTTCACATGCGCTTCATTGCGCGGTTTTTATCACGCATCGTTCGAGGCGAGAAATCGAGACACTTTTCCCCATCTGTTTGCTCCTTTTTGTCTTTTTCTGTTGTCAACAAAGTTTTGCAGACACAATATGTCTGCGGCATATTTATATATACACATATATATCTGTACGTCCGTCTAACTGAGCTCTGTCTGTCCCTCCAGTTGCTTCCATCTGCCATCTGATGTAGCTACTTTTATGGTTGATGTTATTACTTTTTTGTTGTTGCCTCTACTGACGTTCCGTTTTCCCATTTCCTCCAATTTTCCCTGCAGGATTCCCTCTGGCTGATACTGCGTCATGCAACAGCATAAAAAGTTGAAGGTTGTTTCCCGGAATGGGAATCAATTCCTCTCTACCCTAGAAAATGTAAGGCATTCAAGAGATTTATTAGAAATAAGTTTACTTTAAATGTCTTAACACATTTGAGATATTTTATTACATCCTAAGTGTAAACAACTTTTCAAAACAAAATTCATTAATTTTTGGTAGTCATTTGTATTTATTTTGTATTTGTTCAAGTGTTATAATACTCCAGGTTATGGCTGGCTTTAATATTTATTTAACACGTTTTTTTTTTGTATCTGTATGGGATCGATTATATATTTATAATAATGAAAATTAGGCATTCAAAGATAAATTATATAAAGAGTTTAATACTAAATATTTCAATATAAGGTTTTAAATTATCATTTTAAGATATTAAGAGTTTGTTTTCAGTTACAAACTGAAATACTCTTTGAAATATGCCTTAAAAAAAGCCAAAATATTTGTTATTAACTCCTGTTGAAGCAGGGATTACCTTCTTTTCAGGGTATCTAACTTAACTAACTCCAGCTGCTGGTTATTGTTTTTTCCGCTTGCTGCAGCATTGCTTTTTGCCTTTGTGGCTGCATCTGCACTTCAGACGTCGCCGTCCTCGTGGTTTGGCGACGACATTTAAAGCGCCATGAATATGCAAAACTTTTACACTTGCTTTTTATGCGCAAATGTATAAATTGAGGAAAAAATGAAGAGGCAAGGAAAACAAACGCTGCTGGCTGCAAGGATATTTTTTGTGCTCTCCGGGCTCAGCACTATTAGTCGCCAGCATTGGCAACTGGCAACTTGTGCCGCCAGGATGCCAGGATGCCAGGATGTTGGGATGCAGGGATGCGGGGATGTTGAAATACCCACCCCCTTCATCGCGTAATAATTCTTCAATAATAACGGAGAAGAGCTGGCGGAGGCCAAAGCGTTTGTCGGTTAGGTGGGAAATGGGATCCGGCAGATCCGGCAGTTCCGGGGTTTCCACTGCTGCAGCCAACTCCATTGCGGGCTATAAAATAAACACTCACTCACTGCTGCCACTGCTCCTTGTCGCGTTATCCTTTTTCCTGCAGCTTCTCATTGAGCACTGATAAAAAATTATATCAGTTTCCACCCCATATTAACGAAATTGGAGTCAGAACATTTAAATTTCGTTTTAACTTAAAAATCATTAAATCACCTGTTAATTAAAGAATTAAAGTGTCTGTCTTTCAATTTGTATACGAGTATTCTTAATATTAGATAGACCCTTGCTCATTTGATTGTCATTAAAACATAAGAACTAATATTTATTTTGAAATTATATTTTTAGAATGTGCATAAAAAGATGCAAGTAAAGAAATAACTTATTTAAAAATATCTAAATTGATCCAAGAATATACAA